GACTTATCTGAATTTAAATCAGTTTCAAATTAACTCTTAGTTCACTGATCTTACTGTACTTATCATTTAAAATGATTCTTTAGTCAGAGACTTAGACACCCTGTCTGTAAGAAGGAGCGCTACCGCAGGTCATTCATTGCTGCTCCCACCAGACTCTATAATAATGCACTATAACCACAATAACTCCTGTAAAAACCACTGTGCAGCTATATTAGAGATTTTTTATTTATTGACTGTGCAATATATGTGAATAGAACAGTCATACCACTACCTCACCGTTGTTCCTCACCTACTACACTTTAATGTGAAGTAAATCCAGCTGTTTAAAAGCCATCCGGATTGTACATATGTCACCTCAAACCTCTCCCTTGTATTTTTTATTTTTTTATTCCTTATTTTTATTTTGTTTTTCATTGTGTGTGACACATGTACACTTGAACCTTAATCCTTATTTATCTTGATATACTGTATATATATATTGTTTATTCTTAATGCATTTTTTCCCTCCTTGTTTGCACCTTCTTTAATTACTATGTCAATATGTGACCAGTGAATTTCTCCGCTGTGAGATCAATAAAGCTCATCTAATCTAATCTATTAAGTTTTAAACATAGGCCTACCCCACCCACCCGCAAATAGGGGAGTATTTTTAAACTGTGTTCCATCTTTATGAGGGTGAACAGGGATGAACCCTAATACACTCACAGGGTCTCCATTTAAATTATCTAATGAAATACCGTGTGGATAAATAAATAAATAAATAAATAAATAAATAAATAAATAAATAAAAGGTTTGGGAGCATCAAGAGAACTGATGCTGTTTTTTCAGAAAATAGAAAAAACCAAAATGTTCACCTTTAAAAGTTGGGAATCAATTTATTTTTAATCGTGTCTTTCTGACGGTCAGATTATCTATAAATCATGGAATTACAAAGTTAAACGTATCAAAATGCCCCTCCCAATATGGCGTCAGGGTTGCCGTGCATCCCAGGCGCGCATGCGGTGTAGGCTTCTTCACATCCTGTGCGGCACTTCCGGGGTTCGCCCACTGATCGCCAGTGCGCATGCGCCAGCGGCGCTTCTGCTCCGGTTCGTGGGTTTTTCTCCGGTTCTGCTGGTTCTAAGGGCTCAAAGTGAGCAGAACCGGGTCGGTCCAGCTGAGAGGAAGGAGCGGAGGCCGAACAGCTGATGGAGATGAAGCGATAGGAGCTAAAGGAGCGGCTGGAAGCAGCAGGAAGGAGGCAGGAACATGGATGCTGCCTCTGGGCTCCATGTTCAGATGGAAACTTCAGGTTGGTTTGTTTTCATCCATCAGCTGTTTGGCTTCCGGCTTCCTTTCATAAACAGCTTATTAAAAAACAACTTCATCTTATTTCATTAATCAGCGTTTACTTTTATTAGGAAAAGGTTCAAACTATTTTATTAATGAGTGAAGTTTTTACAGGATTCATTTTATTTGAACAGTTTTAATCAGAATTCATTAAATTTAGCAATAATTAGATCTTTTGGTCATTATTATAGTTATTATTATTATTATTATAGTTATTATTATTAAGACAGGACAAAAACAGACTCATCAGACTTTACATTAAATTAAAACAATATAAAACAGAATTATTGAACTGACCAGTTGTCATGAACGGACCAATCCTGTCGCTGGTTGAGCTCAGCTTTATTAGGCGGCGTTAATAACAGCGTAGATACGGAAGCCCAACCATGACAAATCACTACACTCAGAAAATAATTTCTGTCAAAGTTCCTCCATCATCCAGCATCTTCCTCCGCATCTTCTCTGCTGGCCTGTAGGGGGCAGCGGATACCTTGTTATGCTGTTTTTAGGATTATTATGAAGTTCATAAAATCTATATTTATGGGGCTATTTATAATCAAGCTGTCAGTCCTTCAGCCGGTTATTTCAGACACATTCCTCCTCCGTAAACCTCAGATTCTGCTCCTAACCGCCGCTTCAGTTCCTCCTCTGGTCAGTGATGCAGCTGAGAACAGAGAGCGTCTCCATCCAGCAGTAGACGAGGTGTTAATGATACAGATGTTCCAGGAACAGCTGCTCCACCCCGATGCCTGCGGGATATGATTCCCGATGCGCATGGAGACCGACAGCCTGGGAAAAATAGAAACATGACTTTCAGGTCTGTTGAACTCTGCAGGATCTGCGGGTTAAAGATGGTATTTCATTAAATCAGACCTGCAAGTTAAAGTTAAACAGAATCAGCTCAGAAATCCCCCCCCCCCCCCCCATCACACCGACTTTGGTGAGAAGCACTTTCAGCTTGTAGTGTTCAGGCCGGCATTCCAGTGATAATCCTGAACTGAACCTTACAGTCCTTGAACCTCGAGCAAACTCACCTACCGAACTTTGACGCCGTCTCCACTGAGCAGACTGGACTTCTAGAGGAAGACCTGTTGGTTGTCGTCACCAAAAGGAAACTGAAACCTTTCTCTGCTTTTCCACAGTGGGAGGAACAGACACGTTTATTATTTTATTGATGAGGCTGGTTGGTGAGGATTAGCTCTGGAATTGGATCCATCAGTTTTAGCTATAATAGGCAGGTCTAATAAAACTAGACCCCAACGTGGTCTTAGAGGGTTTGGTTTTTGTAGTTTTCTTGGCACTAGTGGCTTGTTTTTTGGCAGGAAGGTAGAAACATGCGGCAGAGGACCACAGGTCAGGTTCGAACCCGGGTCGGTCTGGGAGGACTAAGGCCTCCGTTCAGGGTCATGTGCGCTAACCGCTGCACCACCGCTGCACGCCCTTAGAGCGGTTTATCAAGGACGACATGCAGCCATGCTGGGAGTTAAGCTTTAGTACCGACTGGCCGCCATGTTTCCATGCATGTTAGCACACGGCTATGACCTGGTTATCTCACCTCCATCATTGATGCATTGATGCACGGCCACAGGATCAT